TGACATATGGGGGGGGGGGTAAGTCGATGAAACCGGAAAGTAAAAAATGGAAAGGAATTTTAGGTTCCAAGAAGTGCCATGCAAGTGCGAAAAATGCCTTTTCAAATGATCCGCATGATTCACCTAAACAATATTATCTGAAAATTATTTTCACTGCCACGTTTATGAATAAATTATTCTAGTGTCAGGTTTATTTGAAAATACAAAAGCATGCGATGTTGTGTAATTACTTATATTTCGTTTATTACTTGTCACATGAGCATTAACTGTGTTTACAGATAATTGCCTGACATATTACATACATGATTAAGTCCCGAGATTATAAGATATATTAAAACAATCATTAGTGCATTTATTTCCAAAATTAATCATAAAAGTGTCGATTTTGTTGCATCCCTCTTTCTCAGAACATTACTCAGTATTCCACATTTTAAGATTAAAATACAGGTTCCCATATGTGACCTTGACAGTACTCTAGAGGGGACCTATGGCTGTGAGAGGGTTGACTACTTGTTCTCCTAAGAGCAAAAACAACTAAAACTTCCCTCTTTAGAACAATCTGGGTAAACTGAGAAAAAAAAAGATGCATTTGAGCGTAACGATACGACTTGGGCTGGAACCAACCATCTGAATCACAATACTTTAACAAATTTCTAGATATCGTCGTTCATAGTAGTTCCAAGCTATTTCAAACTAATGTCAAATGTATACGAACTGTACAAATAAAATTCCACGTGTAACGTTTGATATTAATTCATACTGAGAATAGTAAGAAAACACACACTAAAAGTGCAATAACCCATTTATTAGTGCTACATGTAACGGGCTGGGTATTCTCAAAACTGTTACACGGTGTATTATGGCACAGGAACTACTTTTAATCTCACAAAATAAAGTCAAACAAATGGTTCTTCTGACTTTTTTTTTTGTGGTATGGTTGGTGTTGGTGAAAATACTCATTGTTTAAACCTCGAATGAATTGTGCTGTTCAACTTGTGATATTGATCAAACAGCATTGTCAACAAATAAAAGTGTGCTTGACGAAGTAAAACAATGATCTTATTTTTCTTTTTCATTTAGTTTCGTTAACAGTATTGGTTAAAAGGCTTAAAATATTTTTGACATTGTTGACTGTTATTACTAGTAATTGTTATACTTTTTAATACTGTTTTGTATTGTTAACTTAGTGTATGGATTTAGAAATAACCTAAATCTCCTAAG